AGGCAGGAACCAAGACAATTGATCAACCAATGCTCACAGTTTTTGCATTTGGTCTATTTGCAAGTCCTGCTGTTGGAATATGTACCTTTGCTTTCCAGAACTTTGTACTTCCTAGTTTATATTCTCTGATTCTTATGATTGTCCTTGGGGTACTGGCTTTCTTCGCAGAGATAACTCTAGCAAGAGGGCTTCAGCTTGAGAAAACAAGTAGAGTTGCCAATGTCCTATATCTTGAGGCAGCCTTATCTCAGTTGTTGAGAATGGGTACTTCAAGAATCGCATCGGTTAGTGGGATGTTCACTAATTTTAATTTCAGCAAGTTGTACAATGTATTTTGGACATGAAATAGATTGAAGGACAGCAGGCAAGCTCACCTTTGGTAATGCTAATCCTTGGGTTGATTCCTGAAGTGCGATACAAAACTTACGCGATGCTGATTTTGGTAGCATTAATTTGATGAATCTACTTCTGTAATGTACATTCTATCCAATTTTAGAGTTGTTAAGTGTGAAAAAAAAAATAAAAAAAAAATAAAAAACTCATCTAGGTGCGTATAAGGCAACCAGCGTGTTTATTATAATTTTTTTTTGTTAGTAGTTTCTTGGGGTACCGTGTTTAATTATGTTTTTTTATTTCATTTTTTTTTTATTTTCATTGCTTAGTTTTTAGATGTCATTTTTTTTCCTGTTGTTGTAATTGTTTTTAATTTGAAATTAAGGAACATTGTTTTGTTTTCATCCATATGGTTAGGTATGCATGTGTGTTGTGAATGCGCATGTGATTAATGTTTAGGGTGGTTGTGTGTTTCATCCATATGGTTAGGTAAAGTGTTGTTGGTATTTGCTACTGCTGGTTTTGTTGTCGGTTAAGCATTTATGTTGGTGCGTCACTGGTATTGGGTCGGTGCCTGTTTATTTTATTTTTATTTTTTTTTTTTTTGGATTTTTTGGGGTTGCGTAGTTAGGTATGGTGGTTTATGCGTAGGCAGCGTAGTAGTATGTTAGCTTGTGCAAGTTAGGGTGAAATTTAGTTGCTAATTGACACTAGTTTCTTTTTGTTTTATTTTTTACATTTAGGTTGGTGCGCTACTGGTATTGGGTCGGTGCGTGTTTATTAATTTATTTATTATTTGTTGGGAGTTCGGGGGGTACCGCAGCTACGGGTAGTGGTTTGTGCGTATTAGTTTGTTACCGTGTGCAAGTTAGGGGCAAAGTGTTTGTTGGAAATTGCCACTGCTGGTTTTGTTGTTGTTGTTTTTGCTTTTAGGTTGGTGCGCCATTGGTATTGTGTTGGTGCGTGTTTATTGTTTTTTTAGGGATTTTCGGGGGTCACGTAGTTAGGTGTGGTGGTTTGTGCGTAGTAGTATGTTATCGTGTGCAAGTTAGGGTTTAGTTTAGTTGCTAATTGGCACTGCTATTTTTTTTTTTACATTTAGGTTGGTGCGCTACTGTTGTTGGGTCGGTGCTTGTTTATTTATTTATTTATTATTTCTTAGGAGTTGGGGGGGGGGGGGGGGTACTGTGGTCCGTGGCTACGGGTGTCGTTTTGTGCGTATTAGTTTGTTGTTGTGTGCGAGTTAGCGGTACAATTTTGGTGCTAATTGGCACTATCGGTTTTTGGATTGCTTTCTTTATTTTGGTTCCTTAGTTTTATAATGCCTTTATTTTTTTTTTTTTTAAAGAGAGACATATCGACAGTAGGGGGATGCGGTTTTGGGTTTGAGTATGCTTTTTTTTTTTTGGATTTTTTTTTTTACTCTGATTAATTCTTGCCATTCCCATGTGATGTTCCGGTTGAGCCGGTAGGTGCTGTTGCGGGTGAGCCAGTAGTTGTTGTAGCGGTTGAGCCGGTAAGTGCTGGCAATGTGGTCGCACCTTTGCCACAGGCTGATGATGCCGAAGTTCCGAATCAGCCCGCACAACCAGCTTCGGATTCGGATGGCTCAGATGTTGAGCCCGATGAGGTTGCTGAGGCTTTATTTCCCCCTCTGAAGATTCGCGCTGCTCCGAAGCACCTGGTTCCAGTAGGTGATACATACATTTCACATTCTTGTTCAGCAACGTCATCTGTAATGGGTGGTGCACATGCAATACAACAACATTTTCATAACTTTTTAATTTGTTCACAATATTAATGTCGTTGGTCAATAATAGCATTCATATCTATGCAATCACAAAACTACTATTCGAACATTCGTGAAGTAAACTACAGGAAAAGAATATCGCCTCTGTAATCGCACTCTATGCACGCACTTATCATTGTCTACGCACTCTCCACCAAACTAACATCATTGCATGTTGTTATAAAAATCCATGTCGTTTCTATACTACAAACATTTGTATCATACGCACATACATCCCATTACGTTAGGTCGTCCCTAAAAACTATAACACAGATAACAATAGGCACATAAATTTAAAAAAAAAAAAAAAAAAAACACAAACAAAACCAATTACCGCACCGTCTATATACTGCTATGCACAGACTAATGTAGGTCTACGCACTCTATTAATAACCTACCATCATTACAAGTTGGAATCAAAATTCATGTCGTTCCACACTTTCTCAAAACAGTCCCGCATGCACACACGTCTCGCTACATTTAGCTCATTCAACCTAACAAATATAAATTTTAATACAAAAAACGTAGCCCTTGTCATACGCACACGCTATGCACAGACTACTGTTCGTCAATGCACCCACCTGCTGAACTTCCATTTCCTCTACTCCTTATAATAAACGCGGGTGTTTGCACAAGCTACTATGCAATCATGCTCATACCTATACGCTGTTAACATCGGCACACAAACAAACCTCACTTATAGTTCGTCCGCCCCAATAACACAAAACTTAGAAACAAATTTCCACGACATTCGCACATGCCTAGACACTACTATGCACCTACCTGTGTTGCTACAAGCCATTCGTGAAGTGTGGTCCTTGTTTCCCCGTCTTCTCCCGCCCGCTCGTCTGCACTCCTTCTCTTTTTCACGCATTTTTAATTTCAACAGCTGACTGCATAATATCTTTATCAATCAATTACCATTCATAATATCCCTAATTTAATGCTTAAGATTCCATTACTATCATATCCATAATTAAACACATCAATACAATTATAATTTAATCCTTTTGATTTCTATATGTCCTTAAATAATTTTAAAATCACTTATAATCTTAACCATTTATGGGAAATTAATCAATGGATATCATTAGAGCTCATGGACTCATGTATAATAGGGGGTGCACCGGATTCGAAGCCTATATATATATACACACACACACACACACGTACAATCATTAATTAAGTCTTTTAATAAATGACATAACCGTTACGGATGCTACAAATCAATAATAACGTCCATAATAAATGAAATATTTATAACACTTCCCCTTGAACAATATTTGACCACGGCTTTGTCTTGTCAAAAACTTGTTAGGAAAACTCTGTGCAAATAAACTTAGACACGAAAAATACAAGGTATATGAATATTATATTTAAAAATATTCATGCCTCGTTAAAAACCTCACTAGGAAAATCATGTGGGAAAAAATCTAACTGATGAAAAGAGTACATGATATTTATTATTATTATTATTATTATTATTATTATTATTATTATTATTATTATTATTATTATTATTGCTCAATAGATTTGATTACACATCACACGTCTTAGTGAAAGGTTCAATTAAATTAAATTAAATAATACAAAACCTTCTCAAGTAGTTTGCCCTATATCTTACAATAAAATTTTCTAGATCTAGTCGAATAACTTCTTTTCGAAACTAAAAACTATTATTTACTTGCATCGTGCAGACTTTATTAGTTATTAGTTCAAAAATTTTAAATTACGATATCACATTGTCCAATCACTCAAAAAAAATGTGAACTTTAATTCTCCAATCACTCTAGGAAAATAATTAAATATTTACAAATTTGTTGTAAATTATATTTGGCCATCTATTAGCACAATATATCGGGATGATTCTATGGTAACCGCAATAATTGTATGCAAAAATAATAAGACATACGGAATAGAGAAGTAGAGAAAATAGAGAACACAAGATGAAACTTGTAAGAACTCATCAACCTTTCTCTCTTATTGATCATAGCAATACACACCACGCACACACAGACGAAAGATGGATATCCATTCACTAAGTCTTTAGAACATATCACAAGGTCGATTTTCATTAATTGCATGTCCCTTTTGTGTATAACAAAAAAGTAAATGTTCAGTGCATTTTAAGGATTCAACGGATGGAAAATCTGACAACTCACTTACCCTCTGGATTTGGTCCATAGGCTTTTTGAATATGGTTTTCTCTCCATTGGAACTATTTTCTCCCAGCCTATAAATACCTTCTTCATCAAATGAAGAAAGTGCTGGTCAATTTAAAATTTCTAGTGCGAGAAAGCTTTGAAAAATCAAGTGTTTCTGTGATCAGTGTTGAAAAGATAAGAGAGACAAAAGTTTCAAAGTTTAAATCAAGTTTAAGGAAGTCTTGTGTTGTTTCAAGAGCGAAGATTCAAACCTATACAAGCCAAGACATCCAGTTAGAGAAGAAGTTTATTTCGTCAACATTTGTAAACTCTACTCGGAGAAGTAGCTAGAAAGATGCAGAATAAACTCTAGGAGTTGAAAAATCTGGTGTAACAGTTTATCACTGGCTTTGTCTTCAAGGGGTGATCTGTTGGTGGATTTTGTACTAAGGGGATTTAGTGCAAACCTTCACATGTTGTGAAAAAAAAAGTGGAGTAAGCTTCGTTAACATTTTAAAATGTTAGTTGGACCAGCACGCACTAGTAGAGAATTGACCAAAAAAATGTAACAATACAGGTCTTTACTAGGTAACTAAAGACTAGTAAAATAATTTTAAAAAAAAAAAACGCGGTGGCAATTTTGTAAATATATTGACAACTTTACACGTCTATACTTACCTAGTACAGACGCAGTGGCAATTTTGTAAATATGTGTCTAACGCAATTTGCGAAAGGAAATGTTGACTTAAATGAGGATGCTGTTACAGCATACATTGGGAATACCATGGTTACGCTGAAAGACAAGACATTTATCTTAGCACCATACCATCAAACGTAAGAAAATAATTTTTTTTTGTTTTATAAATTCATATAGTATCATTTGAATTATTTTAAATTAAAATTATAATTTACAAGTTTAAAAACGGTAGGAATCATTGGTTACTACTCGTGCTTCATGCAAGTTCAAGAATCGTATACGTATTAGATCCATTGAATCGTATGCGCAAAATTGAAGTCAAACAAGCCGTGAATATGTAAGTAAAACTATTAAAATGTTATGTACTTCAAATTATGTCTTTTTCATAAGTTTAGTATTATTTTATTGGCAATTAAGTTATTTCTATATATATACATTAATGATAGGGCTTTTCGAACCTCTGCAATTCAACGAGGGCAAAGGATTATGGGTAATGCTAATTGGAAATATGTGAAGGTATAAAAAAAATATGATTGTTTACTATAAAAATTTTACTTAGTTATATTTCAATTAACTAATACATACATATATCTATATATATATATATATATATATACATGTGTACGTGGTTTTCTTTTAGTGTCCTCAACAACCCGGTAGTGATGAATGTGGATACTACGTTATGAGGTTCATATATGATATATGCACAAAATTTCATAACTACACTTCGTTGGATGAGGTGAGTACAAAGTGATACAATTTAAATATTTTTAATTATTATAATATTTTATAGTATATTTTTTTTTGAAAGATATTTTATAGTATATATACTCATTGTTTTTTTAAATCATCCAAAATTTTGTAGGCATATCAAGACACAAATGCTTATTCTAAGGATGAAATAGATGAGATACGAAGGTTATGGATAGACTATTTTGTAAATGAGTGCATATAAATGTTTATTAGGTGCACTAGATGGAATTACATTGTATATATTATGATATATTAATGTTGGATTATTATTTTGCGTTAGACAATTATGATGTTGGATGATTATATTGTGTTAGACAATTATGTATATATGTTGGATTATATATATTGTGCTGAATGGTTTGAACCATATAAATGTTGTTTCATATAAATGTTGTTTGGTAGTGGAATTTTCTGTTGGAGCAAAGATTAGTACAGGATACTATTGAATTAAAATAAATATTAAAAAAAAATATTACAGTATAAGCGTCTTTACCTTCTAGGAAAAGACGCGTATAGTCCACTTTACGCGACTACCAAGTAAAGACGCGTTGCCAACTTTCAGTGTCTGCGCCATACGCGTCTTTACTTTTAAAGACGCGTATGGCTCTTTTTGTACTAGTGACGCCCCACATTCTAATGTGGGTTAGCATGGCATGACCCACTTGTCATCACTAATGTACATGTAATATTTTGAATTAAAAAAAAATTCTACAATTAATACTTGAATATACGCTTTGAGTGAATCACGTTTTGTGAATCTCACTGACAAAGGGTTATAAGGTTGTAAACCAAGTTAAGTTATTCATAATTAAGCAACTCAAACTAAAAAGTCATGTTACATCAATAAATATCTTGACTTGTCTTCAATAAATAAATAAATAAAAAGATAAAAACAAATACCTTATAGTTCGAAGGTATCACGGTTGCTTTTCAAATTTTCAATAAAAAGATGAATAACTTTTTCTTTTCAAATTTTCCAAAAAAAAAAAAAAAAAAAAAAACTCTCTTTTCATATTTTCAATTCAAGCAAAATCGTATGTCCATCAATTTTATCTATACTTATAAATGACTAAAAAAATGTATGTGTTTTATCCCGAAATAAATTGACACCAACACACGCCAAAGTGACACGTGTTCTAGGAATTGACGGATTTGACGCTTGCACAGTGGAGTGTAGAAGGAAATAGAAAGAAAGCCAGTCTATTCTTCAAAAAAAAAAAAAAAAAAAAAGCCAGTCTTCTATCTCACGCCACACACTTTTAGATTTGTATAAATGTATCTTTCCCACAGAAAGTGAGTTTCTCGTCTCACGATTTCACACTTCACAGCCTATTAAGTAGAAAAATCAGTGTTTTTTATGTCTACAACTAACTCGCTATATTAAGTTCACACATTATATTTGTCAGAGCTCAATCTTATATTTGTTCTTACAATTTATTATCTAAAAAGATAATTGAATTGCTCGTGCGAATTTATTGATTTGAATTGTATCTCATGTCTCATGTCAGATTCTTGCATAGTTGCATCTCTGATCTTATGAATTTTTTTTTTTTAATGAAAATTAGGAGTTGTTTTCTAAAATAGGATTTTTTTTTTTTACTTTGATGTGTAATGCCATCCATCCACATGGATTGCTTTTGTTGTAAACAAGTAATGGACATTCTACACCACGGACCGTTATTTGGTTATCACATAAACATGCCCCTTTCGCTTTCCATATATCTTCAATTCACCACTTTGTTCTTTACTTTAATTTGTTTTGTCGAATAATAAGAAAAATTAAAAATGAAATATGAAATATGCAAACATTATATTTTTAATTTTTTTTTATATTTGATATGTATTATAATTAATTAACAGAATGAGTAATTAGGTTTTGAGTCTAGTCAGACCTATGAATTTGGGTAACCTTGTCGTCCTTCAAACTTTTAAAATTATCATTGGTGCCTATAATTTTTTATTTATTTGTGTGATATTCATTTTTTTTTTTTTTTGCATTTGCATATAATGCTAAAAAGTTTTGTTAAAATTAAAACATCTAAAATTAAGGGTTTATTTGAAAATATGAAATATATTTTACGGAAAATGATTTTCAGAAATGACTCTTTTTCAAAAAATATTTTAATTTTCAAGTGTTTGGCTTAATGTTAGAAAACTATCTTTCTCTATTTGGATGAAAGTTCAAAAATTGAATTTTTTATGTTAGGTTAATTTTTTTGAAAATGGACATAATAATAATAATAATAATAATAATAATAATAATAATAATAATAATAATAATAATAATAATAATAATAATATGTGGAGATGGTGATAGTGGTGGTGGTAGTGGAGATGGTGGTGTTGATGTTGGTGTTGGTAGTAGTGGTAGTGGTATTAGTGATGGTGGTGGTGGTGGTTGTGGTAGTGGTAATGGGAGTGGGCCGGTGGTGTGGTAGTAGTGGTGGTTATGGTGGGGGTGAGGGTGGTGGTGGTGGTTGTGTGGTAGTGGTGGTGGTGGCGGTGGCGGTGGTGATGGTATTGGTGGTGGTAGTCTTGATGTTTGTGGTGATGGTGGCGGTGGCGGGGCTTGTGTGGTAGTGGTGTTGGTGTCATGGTTGTGGTGATAGTGTGGTTGTGTTGTAGTACATTTAGTGGTAATGGTAATAATAAAAATCCAAAAACTAACTTAAAAAAGAAGAAAGATGAAAAATAATAAAGAATTTGAAAAATTCCTTCCGATTAAAAAATAAGATCAGAAGACATTTTTTGCCAAATTGAATCTTTTGTCCATTCAAATGGACCCTAAATTTAATGCGATGAATAGGCCACCCAGATTTTAAAACATACTTTTCGGGATTGGTCCAATGGATATTGATATTTTTAGAAAGGTTTGAGGTCTTGTTTAATCCATTCATATATTATACACTAATTATGTTATTGTGAGAAAATTATATTTACATTTCATGGTGAATCTTGGGCAAATTATACCATATATCAAGATCTATCTTGCATTATGGACTCTGATAATACCGTCAAACTACAAGGTACTTGTCGAAAGTATATACGCTATGTATGATAAGTATGTTATGTATTGCAGAGTATAATTAATTAACAAATGAGTAATATGAATTCAGGTCGAATCTATAGAATTGAAGTAAATTTGTCGTTCCAACTTTTTATATTATCCTAGATTTCCGTACTTTTTGGTTTATCTATATGACAATCATATTTTATGTATTTGTTAACTACTATGTAGTGTAATGACACACCTGTTATTATTTCAAATGGGTTATTATAAGATTCAACTCAGAGTTTTAAAATATCTTCTTTTTTTTTGAGTACTAAAATATCATTTTAAGATTAGCTTAATATAAATTCAGATCCCAAACTCTTTCGGACTCGATAAAAGTTTAATTGGCTTAAAGGTTAATATTATACACTAATAAAGTTATGTTGAGCAAAATTATAATTACATTACACGGTGAATCAAATTAAAACATAGCACACATTAAAAAATGAAATTATTAATATGGACACAAACAACATTACGGGATGTTTGGTAAATAATTGTTAGCTGATTGAGTTAGTGACTTTGATTAGTTGATAGCATTAGCGGATTATAAAAAAATGTTTGGTAAATTAGTTGTTAGCTTATAACTGATTACATGCAAAATGATTTTCTCAAAAAACTGATTGCAAATTTTGAATTTTAGCATTCTAGATGAATAATAAGTTGTTATAAAAACTTAATTAATCAAACATTTATATTAATTGTTTAATCAAGTCAAACAGTTAATAATGATCAATAAGTCAAAATTGTCTGATAAGCTAACTAAGTTACTAAATAGAACCTACATGTAGCTTTGGTTGTGGTTGTGCTTACAAGCAGCCGCGCCACACCGCAATATATGGCCCCAATGATCCCATTCTTGCTTCACTGCCAATGCTTCAAAATCCAGAAATCTCTTGCTTTTACTACTTATCTTCCTAGCATGTAAGTTGTGACATCATATCATTCACATTTTTAATTTCCCCATTTTTTCTCAACCACAAAAATCTCTTGTCACTATCAATTATACCCTACCCTTATAATGCATACACAATTTGTCCCACATCTCACTTGTCATTTCATTTTCCCTCCAGAAATCAACCTTTTTTTATTCTATTCCTTTTTTTTTGTGGTAATTTTTTTTTTTATTCTATTCTATATCTACATTTTATGTGTTTATATATTATCGATTTTAAAAGCCGGTATTTCATTTTTTTTCATCCTTTTCTCTTTACCATGCAAGACCATGTAATAGGAGTATTATATTCCTCTATTAAGGATGAACGCACTGTATATATGGAGGCGGTTTTTTCTTTTTACTATTTAAAATAAAAATAAAAATTGGGGCATATAGTATGCTGCCCAGCTATTCTATTCTATAATTATATTAAAAGTGAGACAGTCCATGTGCCATTATGGGTTCGGTGAACTCAAGAAGACATTAAAACTTAATTGCGCATAAAAACATATTCGACAGACAATTATTCGATCACTTTTTGTTTCAAATAAAATTTAATTACGGTTGGAATTGTTTCATTTTAGCTCGTAGTGTTCTCCGATGAAACGGATTATCATATGATATGACGAATAAAAGGCAAAGTGCAGGAAAAAAAAAAAAAAAGAGGCAGAGATAAAGTGTAATCGTAGTATTTTTGTTTTCTTTTTTTTTGGTCAAGTCATGAGGTGTCCTGAACAAGTCGACCTTAACTGATCATAGTAATTTTTTATGCCAACATCTTATCAGAACATTACAAGGCATATATATAATCACAATAGTAACAGCAATAAATAGTGACAAACATAAGTATGATGACCGTTACAACCATTACATAATACACTCATAATGTCCACACTTTAATAATATTTATAACACTCATCCTTAGACATTATCTTACCATAATCATGTCTTGTTGAAAACACGCTAGAAAAAGCATGTGGGAAAACCTAGTTGAGAAAAGAGTACACGATATATGGGGTAATGCATGTGTCGTTTCAGTTGACTTATTGAAAAGCTTAACTTAAGAAAATCCTGTGAGAAAAAACTAAGTTAAGGGAAAAAGAGTACAATTATAAGCTTTCAGTGCATAATTTTCAGGATTTTGGAGTTTGTCTATTTATGTATTTATTTGCAACTTTCCCCATTGACATTACTATATCATACTCATGTCTCGTTAAAAACCACACTAGAAAAACCAATGGAAAAAACTTAGTGATGAAAAGAGTACATGATATGTACGCATTCAT